CACTGTATGGCGATTCATGGCCTGCAAGTGTTTATACCGGACTCCGTCAATTCCACCAAAGCAAAGGCTTTGATCCAGATAGCCAGGACATTGCACGACATCTTGGAGACCCACTTTTCCAACTGTCTGATGAGGTGGATCCTCCATTTGCCCGTGGTGAGCCACAGAATCGCCCAAAGATCAGTATTCCCTGTCTGATAACATATTGATAGTTGATCCCGAAGAAAACGACTGCGCAGAGGAGAATGATCAGGGATCCAATTTTTACGACGACATACCACCTATGCTATTCCTTTTGTAACTGAACGCTGTATATGTTTCGAACATACATATCCCGAGTGTAAATTCACAGATACTTATCACAAGTTTGAATAATCAATCTCGCGACATCCATTCTAGTTGAACCCGTGAAGTCAGCATATAATAATCGAGTGGGACGGTACTGGTATAAAGCAGGGCCTGTATCTTTGGCCTATTTCAATGGTTCCTTTGTCTGACTGCTCACACAATTCTACATGCATGCCGAGTGAAAAATATTCGGGCCAGCCTCTCTCGAAGCAAATTTTCTGCCGACTGCGTCGGAAATTCCTAGTAGCGTGTGGAGAGGCGAAAATAGAGCGAACGAGCGAGCAATCGGGTGGGAGAAGAGAACAGGGAGCGAATAGCTAGAGGAAGTTTATAAATATAAACGGTACGCACCAACACCACTGCTGAGCCTGCAACCAAAGAAAAACGCACCATCTCGCTAGTCTGAAACTCGAGCTGGAGGCACGACCCGGCGTTGAACTGGAAGTCGGCGATGGTGCGTGTACAGGTGATGTTCGTACATTCGTGGATCCAACTCAAAGGACGACTCGGACGTGAGGCATGGTACACACCCGCCCTCGATTGCTGCTTGAATCGGATGTTAATCAAGCGGGGAGCTTGGGTTTGATTCCGGCGTCTGGGATGTATTCTTTATGATGTCGCGTTTTTTTTTGAGCTGTAACCTGATTCTGCAGCCCGTCCGTCCGTTGCGGCCCACTTAAGTAGAAACCTTCCATCCACTAATTATTAAACTTATGGATCTAACTTGCCTCACTGAATATATCACCCCCGCCTTTAATTTGCTTCACTTTAGCTCTAGGTATTTGAATCGTGCGGAAACTTCTGGTTCGACTCCCAGAGCCAGCGGGTCACTTGACTAGTACTCCTGAGCTCGAATTCAACGATCCACACGTGCACGTCTCAGATAATTAATATTGAATTGAATCTTTCAGAGCTTCGCAATCTCTAAATTTGACAACCACTACTACCCGAAAAATGCCTTGGACATGGTGCACACCCGCCCTCGATGAATATTGTTAGCGGAAGCAAGCGGGAAGTCTGGGTTCGATCCTGGTGTCCGGGATTCTTTATTGAACGGCTGACTTTTTTTTACATAAACTATTAAGTTGTGATTCCGCAGTGCAAGAAATCCCATCCCATACATTCGTGGATCCAACGAAAAGGACGACTCGGATGTGGTGCATGGTACACACCCGCCCTCGATGGCCTGTTCAATCAGAATTTTGAGCGGGGAGTCTGGGTTCGATTCCCGGCGTCCGGTATCATGTTGAAAGCGCGAATTCCTTTTTTTTTTTGGCATAAGAAGCTAGTGATTCTTGATTCCAGCGTCGACGTCGTTCCCCTGAGTTCCTCTAGTGATGTTCTGGCCTGGCTTTCCAAAATCTTTGGCTTTGGCATGAGCCAGGGCTTTTGGCAGGAATTTGGCTTTGGCCTGACGTCAGAAGACTTTGTACATAAATTGGCCCAGGCACGCTGCCGCGCCTATATTAGTATATATTCAACAACCCCACCCCACCCTCGCCAAAAACTCCTCTCATGGCGACCCCCAAGACATCCCCGCACTGTACGCTGGTTCAACTCAATACCAGCCTCCATCTACTGATGCTCGCACTCGACAAACGCAGTCTGCGCCCCTGACGCGGACCTTACCGTCTCCTCCTCAGACGGCGTCCTCTTCAAAGTACACCGCAAGAACCTCGAAACGCATTCAGGCATGTTCGCCGGCGCAGCGAACGCGACGCGGCCCCCAAACGCCACCTCCTCCGATGGCGACGAGACCGTCGAACTCTCCGAACCCGCCTCCGTCCTCGGCCCCCTCTTCCAATTCATGCACCCCCAGCCCCAACTCGACCTCCATTCCCAACGCTCGTGGCCCTCGCGGAGGCCGCGGAGAAGTACATGGTCTACGCTGCGCTGACGGTGTGCCGCATGCGGATGGAGTGCGTTGCGTTCTTTTGTGTATATGCTGTTTGAGGAAGCGTTGCTGACTGTGGTGTGGTGTGGTGTGTGTGTGAATTACTCTAGAGACGCGATCCCCGCGCACCCGCTCGAGGTGCTGCTGTACGCCCTGCGGCACGACCACATCGCGCTCGCGAACGAATCCGCGCAGCAGAGCATGGGTCTCAGCCCCGCGCACGCGCTCGAAATCCTCCCGCCCGAGACGTTTAGAACTTGGGTGCGTCTTCTATTCACATCTTCTATCTTCCATTTCCACATCCACTCCATAAATCCACTCCAAAAATCCACTCCATACATCAATCCAATCACCCTTTCCTAATCTCATTCCCTTATCTCATTCCCTTATCTCATTACCCACTATCGACTACCAATTACTTACCTACTACCGACCACCGACTACCGACTAACGCCCCACAGATCCAATTCTACGAACGCTGGCACCGCGCCACCGTCAAATCCCTCCTCTACATGGCCACCTTCCCACAACACCTCCCGCTCGTGCAGCGCTGCGCCGCGGATCCGAGTGGGAACCCGGTGTGTACGTTCCGGAGGGAGCTGGACGAGGCGGGGGGGTGGGCGCGGACGATTAGGGAGGGGGAGGTGTTTGTGGAGGATCCGAGGGTGAAGAGGTGAGTAAGGGTGTTTGGTTTTTTTGTTTCATTGTTTTCGTGGGGGACGCGGAATTTAACTGGAACTAACGCTTTGACGAATTAGGATCCAACAATGTAACACCTTTCCCTTCCGCCAACCGGTGCCTGGGTATCCCAATCCCAATCCGAATCCCAATCGCAGTCGCTCGCGAGTGCTGTTTTCGGTCTGATACCACACTACCTATGTTGTATTGTATTATTGTATTATTGTATCGTATTGTATTATGGATCGCAATGGAGGACGATGTATCACCATGTATTTTATTCTACTCGTACTGTTGATGTTATATTTTACTCGCACTAGTGCTGTTAATGTAATAGTAATGGGGATGTATTAATGTCAGGAGCCTAGGGCTCTTACGGTTTTCGGTTTTCGGAGGCACGTCTCGAATACTTGGATGACAGAGCTTCGCACCCTCACCCTCTTAGATCTAGAGCTTTGTGCTTTGGGTAACTGACCGGAAGAAAGGATTTGGATACCTATTACGTTCAAAGCGGGGTTCTTTATTTGAGTCGTGATTCCAGCGTCAACGTCGTTCCTCTGAGTTCATGTTGCAAGAAACCCATCCCATACATTCAGGAATTCAACTCAAAAGATCACCCGGACGTGGTGTATGTGTGGTACACTCCCGCCCTTGATAAGCTGATTGAACTCCTATGTTAATCAAGCGGGGAGTCTGGGTTCGATTCCCGACGTCCGGGATTATTCATTGTTGAACGGTTGGCTTTTTTTTTTACAGAAATTAGCCTGAGTAAAATGTGGTTTGTTCCAGGTTTACGGAAAATTACATCCATTGCCATTCGTGTATGTACTCGGATCCAACTAAAAGGACAAACTCGGACGTGGTGCGTGGTGCACTCCCGCCTTCGATAACTTCTTGAATTCCGATGTTAACCAAGCGGGGAGTCTGGGTTCGATTCCGGGCGTCCAGGGATATTTGTAGGCTGATGACTTTTTCCTACATAAATTAGTAAATTCCGCAGTGAAAGAAATCCCATCCATTCGTGGATCCAACGAAAAGGACGACTCGGATGTGGTGCGTGGTGCACACCCGCCCTCGATGTGTTGGCTTCTATATTATTAATCGAGCGGGGAGTCTGGGTTCGATTCCTGGCGTCCGGTATTTTGGAAAGCGTTTGCGTTCTTTTTAAGCATGAATTAATAAGTAAGTTGTGATTCCATGGCCCGCGTCGTTCCTCTTAGTTCATGTTGACAGAAAAAATTCCCATCCCATCCACTACTGGATCTACATAACTAAAAGGTCAGCTCGGACGTGGTGCGTGGTGCACACCCGCCCTTGATGTGCTGGTTATAGCGAATATTAATCAAGCGGGGAGTCTGGGTTCGATTCCCGGCGTCCGGGATGCATTGTTTATGATGTTGTGTTTTCTTTTGAGCTATGACCTAATTCTGCAGCCCGTCCGTCCGTTGCGGCCCATGTAATTAGAGACCGTCCATCTACTAAGTATTAAATTTGTGGATCTAACTTGACTCGCTGAAAATATCGCCCGGACGTGGCGTTTAATTTACTTTAGCTCTATGTGGGCCGGGGAGTTTAATTGTGCGGGAATTTCTGGTTCGCCTCCCAGAGCCAACGAGGCACTTGACCAGCACTCCTGAGCTCGAATTCAACGATCCACACGCGCACGTCTCAGATCATTAGTATTGAATTGAACCTTTCAGAGCTTCGCGATCTCTCAATTCGACAACCACCATTACCTGAAAGGTACCTCGGACGTGGTGTGTGGTGCACACCCGCCATCGATGTGTTGTTTATTTTGGATTTATTATTTGAGTAATGAGTTGTGATCTCAGCGTTCCTCCATGTTTACGGGATTCCGATCCATTCGTCACGGTGGATCCAACTAAAAGATAACTCGGACGTGGTGCGTGTTGCACACCCACCCCACATTCCTCTCTGCCTTTTGGATGATGGGAACGTCCGGGTTCGATTCCTGGCGTCCGGGATTATTTGTTGATCTGATGACTTTTTCCTACATAAATTAGTAAATTCCGCAATGAAAGAAATCCCATCCATTCGTGGATTGAACTAAGGGGACAGCTCGGACGTGGTGTATGGTGCACACCCGCCCTCGATGGCCCGTTCAATCAGAATTTTCAGCGTGGAGTCTGGGTTCGATTCCCGGCGTCCGGGATGATTTGGATAGCTTGTGCGTTCTTTTTAGATTTATTATTTAAGTAATGAGTTGTGACTCCATGGCCAGCGTCGTTCCTCTGAGTTGGTATTGCGAGAAACCCATCCCATCCATTCATGGATCCACATAACTCAAAAGACAACTCGGACGTTGTGCGTGGTGCACACCCGCCCTCGATGTGTTTGTTTCCAGTAATCAAGCGGGAAGTCTGGGTTCGATTCCCGGCGTCCGGGATTCGTGATTGAAAGCTTTTTTTTTTTCACAGAATTTGGCATGAGTAAAAGTTGTCCACGTGGTTTGCTCCAGGTTTACCGAAAATCCCATTCGTGTACCCGGATCCAACTAAAAAGATACCTCGGACGTGGTACATGGTGCACACCCGCCCTCGATGAATTTTTGAGACGAAATTTTCAGCGGGGAGTACTGTCTGGGTTCGATTCCCGGCGTCCGGGATGCATTGTTTATGATGTTGTGTTTTCTTTTTGAGCTGGAACCTAATTCTGCAGCCCGTCCGTCCGTCCGTTGCGGCCCATGTAGGTAGAGACCGTCCATCCATCTAGAGTATTAATTTGTAACAGTGGAACTTTAACTGAAAATATCACTTGGACGTGATACCTCCCGCGTTTCATTTGCTTTGGCTCTATGTAAGCCCGGGAGTTGAATTGTGCGGGCATTTCTGGCTCGACTCCCAGAGCCAGCGCTAGTACTCCTGAGCTCGAATTCAACGATCCACACGCGCACGTCTCAGATAATTAATATTGAATTGCATACTCTCAGAGCTTCGCAATCTCTCAATTTGACAACCACTACTACCCGAAAGGATACCTCGGACGTGGTGCGTGCACACCCGCCCTCGATGTGCTGTTTTAGCTGATATTATTAATCGGGCGGGGAGTCTGGGTTCGACTCCTGGCGTCCGGGATCATGAGATAGCGTTCAATTTTTTTTTAAGAAACATATTAATAAGTTGTGATCCCAGCGTCCCTTCCTCTATGTTTACGGGAAATCGCATCCATTCGTGTACTCGGATCCAACTAAAAGGATACCTCGGATGTGGTGCGTGGTGCCCACCCATCTCAAATGCAGTTTTCGCTTCGAAAGACTGAACGATGGGAAGTTCCGGGTTCGATTCCCGGCTGAGATTCTTCGTGAGAGCTAACGTTTTGTGAGTTTTTTGCGTGAATTAGTAAATTTAATTTGTGACTCCGCAGTGCAAGAAATCCCATCCCATACATTCGTGGATCCAACTCAAAGGACGGCTCGGACGTGGTGCGTGGTGCACACCCGCCCTCGATGTGTTGTTCATTGCGAATTATTAATTATATTAATCGAGCGGGGAGTCTGGGTTCGATTCCCGGCGTCTTGTGATTGTTCGACTCATGGCGAGCGTCTGAATGAGCAATTCTGCATTCTCTTTTCTATTTTGTTTCTTTCCTGTTCGCTGCAAATTGGGATGGTGCAGTGAAATGTGCACACTCTTACAACCATCGTGCAACCAGCAGGTAGATGGGACGATAAGCGGAGCGACTGTTGAATTTCTGGCGTAGTGAAAGAGAGGTGCTAAGGACAATCGTTTACCAAAGTTTCGGCGTCCCCATTGCAATGTTGTACCAACGCGAGGACACCTTCAAGTACGCAATATTGTTGGTGAAGAACTCACAGGCAACAAGATATTACTTACCTGTGACAGTGTTCGCAAGGACATACATAGCTGAGACCGGCTTCAGTGCACCTTCCACCAAATTTAGTAGGAGAGGCGGATGGGCGGATAGGCGGATAGGCGGATAGGCGGATAGGTGGATAGGCGGTCCAACGACCCGGCCGTTGTGCCAATTTGGCACCGACCTTCTCACCACCATGAGTTCCAAATCGTCTAATCGTCCGCGGTCAAGCGCCCCAGACAGTTGAGCTGCGCACCTTTCTACGTTCCAACGCTTTGCCCCCCGAGACTACTAAATTCAATCCGGCGGATTGCTACCCGCTGACTGGATTCTCTGACAGCTTGAGAGAGCAATCATCGTTAAGTCATACCTCGGCCGAACTGGTGTAAGCCCGAGGTCATCAGGCGCTCTCCGGTATGCCGCACTGAGACTGGTAAGACTACTAACCGCGACGCGTATAAATACAAGGTCGGAGGTCTGCTAAGCCCCAGAAACTGGAATGCCTCTCCACCGCATCTTCGTGCCCAAAGGGTTCTACTCTTCCGCAGATAAAGAAGCATTTTCAAAGGCCATTACCGAGGTTTATACTTCCTTCCTGCCGCCCTTTTATGTTATCGTCCTCTTTATCGAGCTCGACGCTGGCAACTTCTTCGTTGGCGGAAAAGCAACCGAGCGCATGGTGCGAATTAGCGTTGAACATGTCGCGCGGAACTTTACAGAGTGAGTGCGTTCCTCGGAATATCTTTATGGGTTTAAATGTTGGCCGCGCAGCGATGCATCGAAACGCGGATTCATGGACCGGTACGAGAAGGTGCTTGAGCCGTTCATCAAGGCTCGGGGTATCGACTGGGAAGTCCAAGTCGTTGATTGCGATGTGGGTTCAGACTTTGCTCTTTGACGAATGGTCATTTACGAACACGTTAGCGCCTGCTCTTGAACCTGAATGGTATGGCGCTGCCTGAGGAGAATAGCGAGGAAGAAAGAATATGGAAATCGGAGAATAGAGCGGTGTCACATGAAGAAATGGAGGCTTTGAAGGTTCATGGTGCTGTTTGAATTGCCTGTAGAGCTTATGCATAGCTTCCCCGCATCCAGACGCATCTTTTTGAATTGTGATTCCGCTAGCTCGTTTGCATGACACAGAAAACCTTATCAAATATCTAACCTGAACTGAACCGAAAATATCACTCGGACGTGGTGCACGGCGCATCCTGGATCTACATAACTTGAACTTGAACTGAATAGAGCCCTCGGGTCATGCACGTAAGTAGAGACCTACAACATGCGAGGTACGAGCACTCTATTGTTGTAGTGTCTGTTTATCAGAGACTAGTATAGATCATCCATATATTTATTAGATTTGTGCACAGTGGATCCAACTTGAACTGGAAAGATCACTCGGATGTCGTACCCTCGCGTGTAATTTGCTTTAGTGCTAGAAGTTCAGTTCAACTCTGCGGGAACTTCTGGTTCGACTCCCAGAGCCGGCGGGGCACTTGAGTACTGTACTATTATAATCAATTCGTCAAGGGGTGTGACGCGTGACCAAAAGTTCTAATTCGTCAATTCGTCAAGGCAGCTCGAGCTGCGTGACATCCCCCAAAATTTCGTCAACCCGTAAAAATATTCCAGGAGTTGTGGTAAATGCACAGTGACTCAATGGAATAATTCAGGAATGACTTGAGCAATTTATTTCAACATAAGTTTGAGTGATGTGGAAAAATGCAATTTCTGCTGTTAAATTCAAGTTAAACTTGCTCTGAACCACGATTTGAAGCCAAAAACCTTGAAAATGGGCAATAAATTAAGTGGGAAGTGCCCACAGTTGAGGAAAAGTGCTCCAAGCCCCCGTGAGCTGAAATTTTCAACCTCCCGTGACGAAAAGTATATTCGTCAAGAGCCTCCGTGACGCGTGACAAGGCTGCGAAATTCGTCACGTCAAGCACCCCCGTGAGGCGTGACTGACGGATTGATTTTAATAGTACAGTAGTGATTCAACGATCCACACGCGCACATCTCAAATAATTGAATTGCACCCTCTAGAGCTTCGCAATTTCTCAATTTGACAACCACTACTACTGTAGCATTCCGTTCAATTCTAACGGGCTGTGGCCCGTGACCGAAAAATTCGAATTTTGGTTTTCGTAGATGGGCCAGGTGGACCATGACACCCAAAAAGAATTCGTATATGCGCCAAAAATGGCCGGGTACTTCTGATATTACTTTTTTTTCTGCAATCCTGCTGCCCCCCACCACAATGAGTAGCCTCAAAATAGTACGTGCTCCACAGATCATGTCAAAATCAGCATTCCGTGAGACCGCCGTGGCATTTCAAACTGTACCCATCGTGGCACGCAAAATTTTGATTTTTTGAGCCATTTCTCGCCCATTTTGTGACTTGTTTTGGATATTCGAAGATCCTTTCGGTGACCCGTGACACGTACGAAAATTTTCGTATATTTTGGCTGCTGTGACACGTGACATACGAATTGAATGAAATGCTACAGTACCCGAAAGGTACCTCGGATGTAGTGTATGGTGCACACCCGCCCTTGATGTGTTGTTTGTGGTGAATATTAATCATGATCAAGCGGTTCGATTCCTAGCGTCCGGGATTGGTGTTTGGCACGCGTGCCTTGGAGCTGAAGTACAGTCAAGGTCATACATGTATTACTCACCACATTTTAGAGCTTCTTCCCTCGTTTGTTTCTGCCTGAACTCCCTCATATCACCCCATTTCCCCAGTTCATGGCGGTCTCAACGCGAACGTTGCCGCAGCTGCTCACTCGGATCGCGCTGGGGATTGACTTCGAAGTGAATTGGCGACCTATCTTCAATGCTGAGCGGGGCAGCATGCCTCCCTATACGTATTTGCGCGTCCCCTGGTGTTCAGCGAGCCAAGGAGGTGACTTGGCTGAGAGGTTCACAACGGACTCTTTACGTACTTTTCCATGTTTCGTATCATTCCCACATTTATTTCGCTTGCGGGCTCTGGTGTCGCACGAGTACGCGGGCAGCCATCCGAGGATGTATCTTATCTCTCTCCTCACCACGACCACAATCCACCCATTGACTCGAATTCTTTGCACCCCACTCTGAGTTTCTATCCCACAACGAGCTAAGTATTTATCTCTTCTTCTCGTACTGGCCTTTCCACCTCTAGAGCTCATATTCAATTGCACGAGCGGAGATATTGCCTACACGACTCGGCGCCATTACTGGCACGATCTGGACACCTCTTGGTCTACCTACGGGCCAGCCTTCTCTTCCACAACGGAGCTCCGTGTTCAGCGGCGCCAACCACCTTGCACTTTTGAAAAAGACCACTGAAAATCCTC